CGGGGAGAAGCCTCAGAAGAGCAGCAGCGTGTGGACATGGGCAGGGAAGTGTCCGTCCGGGCATCGCAGCCCCGCCAGTGCCTCCGCACCAGCTCCCAGGACAGCCGCGTGGTCCATGGTCTAGAGAGGTCACGTGAGGCCCAGGGTGCAGCCGGGCGGTCCCAGCAACTGGCGCTGACACACTGCTCGCACAGCCCCGGGCAGACTCGCAGACAACACCCAGCACCCCTTCCGGGGTCCCCTTCACATATCCCCGAATATGTCCACACAGATCTCATTGTTCTTCTCAACCAACCAGCAACATTTCACCAGAAAACTAGAAACTCCTGAAAAATGGGAGCAGCAGCGAAATCCTCTGGCCAGGTCTCCCAGTGAGTCACGGCGCAAGGGCCTACTTCCAGGAACCAGAGTCAGAGCCTCTCATACAATCCTCTCATTTTCATAGGAAATGCTTTGAATGTAGGGTGATTATGGAAATGAGGTGTTGCTGTAATTGGAGTTGTCATTAATTTAGCAAGTCTATGCCCTGACATTCACAAGACTTGCAAACAGCAAAGAGTAAATTACTATATGTCCAAATCAGAGGTTTCCTTTCCTTTCCGCACATCATTGAAGTGTGGCTGTGCCCTTTTCAGACGCATTAGCAAGGAGGACACTGTCAGAACTCTACTTCCCACCCTTTCCCCCCAACCCATCCTCCCTCCTCGCCAAAGGCTCCCATCAATGTACCGCAAATTCAACTACACACATACTGCATGACTGGCAACATCCTTCTCGTAGACTGATTTCTAAAATATGATAGGTTTTCGCCCAGCTGGTGCAGCTCAGTGGTTTAGCATTGACCCGTGCACCAAGAGGTCGCCAGTTTGATTCCCGGTCAGGGCACATGCCCAGGTTGTGGGCCAGATCCCTAGTGGGGGCGTGCAGGAGGTGGCCAATCGATGTTCTCTCATCCATGTTTCTATCTTTCTCTCCCTCTTCCCTTCCCCTCTCTCTGAAAATCAATAAAGAAAAAAATAAAAAATGAAATAAAATGATAGGTTTTCTTGTATGGTGATGAGCCCCTAAATCTCCAGGTGAACTACATGCTAGGGAGTGGTGCCTAGTTTATCACCACAGGACCGATGGGCTGGCTCCCAGTTTGCTACAGTTCCAGCAACCTTTTAAGGTAAATTCTGAACAAGATGGCAAGGAAATCAGACTAAAGCAATTATTTAGAGAGTGAAACACTTTGTATCTTTTTAAAAGCCTCACCCGAGGATACATTCTTACTGATTTTAGAGAGAAAGGAAGGGAGTATGGGGAGAAACACTGATGTGAGGGAGGAACATCAATCGGTTGCCTTCTGCACATGCCCCGACTAGGGATCGAACCCCCAACCTTTGGGTATATGGGATGATGCTCTAACTCACCGAGCCACCCAGCCAGGGCCTTTCGGGCTCTTGAGCCCGCTATCTGGACACGACACCAGCCTGTCTCCGAGCCCGCGCGGCTCCTTCGCCCAGGCCCCAGCGCCGCTCTGCAGCAGGGACCACTCCTCCGGGGCCAGCCTCAGACCATCTCCCCGACCCAACCACCCCGGTCCGAACATGTCCTCGGAGGGGAAGGGGGTTTACCTGTGCTTCCTCACAAGAGGGCTATCTGGCCCCGAAGTGCATTCAGTGGCCCATTCAGAAGCTCTCCTGGCTCCATCGCTTCCTCTCTAGTCCCGGGCCGCCCTGTCCAGGTCATAACAGGCCAGGCCCAGTGCCTGTCTCCCATGTGGTTTACGGGGCCCTTCCGGCTCCACACACATCACAACATGTCATAATGAACCATCCTCCCTCGTCACAGCTCTTTTTTCCACATGGAAACAGGCTCACCTGACACCCTCTCTTGTCCCAAGTGCAGACTGCACTCAGCACGCACACCCACCCCGGGACCCACCGCCCAGGGCCACATGGGGTCTAGTAAGGACCTGGGGGAGGGAGGAAAGAAACACAGCTTCTGTCTCGGGGGATGCTGGGTAGTGAGCGTTCGGCCAATACCTGCTGTCTTCACGAAGTCCAGGGCACCGTCCAATTAATTTCAAAACAACTTCAATCTAATAACTACTCGTAGAAAGGTCAGTAGCTAGTTTGATGTTCTTCAAGCGACCGGCTGGAACGGCGCCGAGGAACCACGTCCGTATGTTTTCATGGGGCCTCACGCAACTGTTTACGCAGCAGAACACTTCGGTGGCTGCTGCTCATCACCACCGCGAGCAGGAGCCGTGACCGGAGCAGCTGCTGTTCACAGCACACCTTCCAGAGGGCGGAGTGTGGAGGCACCGCGAGTGGACGCCAGACAGACGGCAACAGCACAGGGAGCGTGAGGCCCAGAGCTGGGCCATGGCCTCTGGCAGCCACTGCGCCACCCCTGCCCAGGGGCAGTTCCGGCAAAAAACATCAAACACGAGTCTGATCAGATCTCTAGGTCCAACAACTAATTTACAAGAGCAACAGGGGCAGGATATGCCAAACAGACACCGTGGGAATCCAATCTGTGAGGCAGACCGTGGGAAACTCACAGGACAAGTGACCTCGGTGCTCCGGCAAGAAGAGAGGGTTAGAAGAGGTGCCGGGACACCGCACCTGAGCTGGGTGGGTCCTGCCTCACATAACTACACTTAAGAAAAATTCCTGCCATAGGAAGGACAAGCCAAACCCCTACTGGGTGTCCGATGATGGTAAGAAATTATTATTAAGTTTTTAGGTGTGATAGTGACATTGTGGTTAGGTTTTTAAAAAAGAATCTTTATCTTTTACTGAAGTCTTTACAGGCAGAGAGACACGACATCTGTGATTTGCTCCCCAATCACGGGGGCAGGGAGAACGATGCGTGGGGACAAAGATAAGCAGTTTGGCCTTCACACCGGCCTGGGGCGGGGGATGGCACATGGGGAGAGGGTGTGCTCACCGCACAGTGCAAGTAAAGGAGCACAGTTCATGTGACCGCCGCCCCTCCATCCCAGCGCAGTCAAGTCAACCCAAGTCCAGAACAGTAAGAACTGTAAATCTAAGGTAAAGAAATTCACTGTCAAATGTTAATGGCAAGCTGCGTACCAAAGCCCGAGGGGAACAGACAAGAATTACTGCCCCTGCTTGAAAGTCAGTAATGAATTTCCCTATCAGAGTGACAGAAATGTACACATTCGGTGTCCTTGCTCTGACTTCGTTAAAACTTTGATCACTCTCCATGTGAAGGCTGAAGACCTGGCTTGGCCCTAACAGAAGTCAGGACACCCACACTGTGTGAGTGTTGAGGTCTGAGTTTTCTGGAAGAAGAGGAAAGGCCTGGACTGCTGACACCCTTGCCCGCAGGCCCTGCAGGTTTTCGGAAGCAAACAGCCCTTTCTAGGAGGGCACATACCCACCCCTGTAACCATCCATGTAACCTTCCGCACACGTGTTCTGTTCTTGTGTTTCCCAGCCCTGCCCAGGGCTACTGCTCAGGAGCACCGCTGAAGTGGGTCAGACCGGCACAGTGGCCGAGCACCACGTCAGAGGCGGGGGTGACCGGCCGCCAGCTACACCCAGTGCCCTGGAATCCTGCAAAGCACAGTGGACACCAAAACCATTCCATAGACAACAGATGTCGTCTGGCCTATTCAGCAAATGATCTGAGGACTCCCCTGGCTAAAATCTCTTCCCCTCGAGTTAGAGGAAATCCCGGTGTGTTCACTGTTCGGTTAGGCCCCAGAGAGGTGTGCACCTACCCACCAGCCAGGCAGGGAACTCTGAAACAGGACTGCTTGAAGCCAGCACTCACAGAACCTGAGTCATAGAAAGTGAGGGAGCAGAAACAGGCCTCTAGGAGCCGCAGGGCAGGGAGGAGGGGAAGGGGATGTTTACCTGTGCTTTCTCACAAGAGGAGAGTCTGGCCCTGAAATGCATTTAGTGGCCCAGAATGGAGAAGGCGTGAAGGTTGTGGAAGAGATAGGAAGGAGTAATGACATCCATGCGGTTTAACAGCTTTAATTATTCACCAAGTCCTGATTTTCCTAAATACACACCTTTCATGTTTGCAAAACAGAATGAGTCATTGTTGATGTTGCATCTGAAGACAAGTCAACACAATGTTTACAACTAAACACGCCAAGACCCTAGAACATGAGAAGCAAGCGTCGCGCCCTGGGAATTACCCCAGCAAAAATTCCCTGAACTCGGGGCGCTGGTAAAAGAGAGTCATTAGCCAGGGCCGGCTTGGAGCACGAAGCACACTGGAGAAATAGAAACACTAGTGAGGAGTTCAAAGCAATGACTACGTACAAAAAAGAAAGTGCCTAAAGAGGAAATGAGTAGTTAAAAGGGCTTTCTCCTGAGCTTGAGAAAGCAAGGATCTCTGGGGGAGAACGCGTTCGTGGGAACCGGAAGAGGGGAAAGTGAGCGGAGGGCGGAAGGAATACCGGGATGTGGCTACAGCTCGTGGCGTCAGCGGTCCGGCCGGCTGCGCCCTGCGCCCTGCGCCCTGCGCGGCCCCCAGCCCTGCGGTTCTCCCTTCCTGCCCGGGCCCCCCGGCACCCCTGTCCATCCCGGGAGTGCGGGCTCCCGACCGCGTCTCCACGTACACCGAGGAGAGGGCACCCTCGCCCGGTCCCTCTGCCCTCCCTCGGAGGGGAGCGTCCCCTCCCTGCCCAAGTCGCCGCCGGTTCAGACCCGGTCCCTCCTGCCGGGGGCTCAGGCCTTCCGGGGGGGACTGGCACCTCCCCCAGCGACACCGCCTGACGCCACCTCTCTCGCTAGCCCGCGCGGGGGCAGCGCCGGGGTCCAGGTCGGGACGGGGACAAGGCCGACCGCCCGGATCCACGCCAGGCGGGGGTCCGGGCGCCCCTCGGGGCGCGGGGCCCGGGCCGGGAGCGGTCAGGAGCGACCCCGTGCCGGGCTGCGCCGGGATCGGTGACCCCAGGGCCCGGCCGGGCGGGCGGGGGCGTTGCCGGCGGGGCGCGGGTCGGCTGGGCCGGGCCGGGCGGGCGCACTCACTGTTTGGGCAGCTGCAGGGCGGGCGCGCCGCGCCGCTGGAAGGCCCCGTCCACGAAGACGCCGTTCTTGCCGAGGCAGCGCAGGTAGAAGCAGGGCTCCTGGAAGGTGAGCTGCAGGTGGCGCCGCGAGATGAAGCTCGACAGGCCCATGCTCAGGTCCACCGAGCCCTGCGACGAGTTGCGGCCGATGGTGACGCTGGGCTGCCGCATGAGGAACTCGAACTCGCGGCCCTCGAGGCGCGCCAGCACGGGCCCGGGGCTCCGGCGCACCGAGTCGGCCGCGGCGGCCACCAAGGCCTCGCCCGCCGCGCCCGGGTCCCCCGCACCCCCCGCGATCGCGCCCGGCGGCGGCGGCGGCGGCGGCGGCGGCGGCGGGGGCTGGGCGGGCGGCGGCGGCGACGGGGCGGCGGGCCCCGGGGCGGCGGCGGCGGCGGGGGCCGCGGCGGCGGGGAAGGCGGCGGCGGCGGCGGCGGCGCACAGCACGGGGCTGCAGGGCGCCGAGCGCAGCGCCAGCAGGGCGCGGGCCCCGCTGTCCTCGCCGACTTCGGCCATGTTCGCGCAGCTCCGAGCGGCCTCCGGCGGCGGCGCGGCGGCGGGGGGCGGGGCTCCGCGGGGCGGCGGCGGGCGCGGAATCCCGGGCTGGATCGCGCCGCAGCGGAGCGGAGCGCACAGGCCGCCGGGGCTCGCCAGAGCTCGCCGGGGCTCGCCGGGGCTCGCGGGGGCTCGCGGGGTTCCAGCAGGGTGCCGTCTATGCCCGGCCGCCTCGCCTGCCCCAGGGCGAGCCCCTCGCCCAGTGCCCCCCGGCTATGGGCTGCCCTTTGCTCCGTCCCAGGGGGACGGCGGAGGGGAACCCCCGAAATGTCTAACTGGAAAGTTTTGGTCCTGGAACAAATGACCTCAGTAGTTTCCTGGGCCTGAACCACTCCATCTTCCAACCCCAAAGTGCAAAGTACTTACGCACCCACATGAAGGGTTTTCATACTGTAAATGAAGTTTACCCCAAGGTGCTTGCGACCCCGGTGCCCTGTGTTCTTTTTAGACGTCACCCATGTACTCAACCAAGAGCTCCATCGAATACCCCGGGACTGCTGGCCGCCAGGGCCAGGCAGGCAGACAGCCTGCCCCGCACACCCTCGCAGTGCAGGGGGGAGGCCCAGGCCCAGAGGCAGCCCTTGGCTGCAAACGCGGAGCTGGCCGGTTGGGGCTTTGCGCAGCTCCCACCCGCACCCCAGTCTCCTGGCCACGCATTCCCAATTCGGCCAGGGCCCCCTGAAAGGGGAGGCAGAGCGTCCACATTTCTGTCCTCGAATAATTACAGAGGGTGAGGAAACCGACCCTCCCTGGTGGAGCTTAGAGACTGGGGGGATGCAGACTTGCATTAAGGGCACAGACTAACAGTTATAAAGTGAGCACTGTCAAGTCCTGGGAGGCACTACATGGTGACATGTGAGTGTGTGGGGACGTGCAGCCCATTTGGGGTGGGACGCCCGTGTGCTTACCCACTGTCCAGCCTGCAGCTAAGATGGAAGTTAACCCAACAGTCATGATGGAGTGCACCCATAAATACATTAGAGGTAAGTGTTTGGGAGCCAGTAACACATTTTGTGAGAGACTATGACAAGAGAACCTACTTGAAAGAGGAGGGAAGTCAGTAAACACAGGGTCAGGGATCTCTTCCCTAAGGAGTGACATTTGAACTGAAGTCCAAGGATGAAATGGAACCATTAGGGGAGGGGCTGGGGTGGGCGATGGCCTTCCAGCCAATGAACAGCTAAGCAAGGGATGGCGGTGCCTTCCAGGGACTGATGGGCCACTGCGGGTGGCAGAGAGAGTCACCACTCAGCCGAACCAGATTAGGCTCAATAGGACGGGGCGGGTAAGGATCTGGGCTTGATCCCCAAAGCAATAGAAGCCAGTGCCGGCTCCGGGGCACTCTTGTACCTGGAGGGCATGTGGAGGCAGCGGGATAGAAGCGGAAACAGACCCACACATTTGAAATCAAATCCCCGGCTGTCCCGTGGAGCCTGGGTCAGAAAGGGGTCAGAGTGACCATGGTGAAGCTAGTCAGGGGCTAGCAGACCAGGCAAGAGAGGCCGATGGTGGAAGATGGAGAGAAGTTGGGGGATTCAAGCAGTATTTCTCTCATACAGAGAGATTTACATGAACACACTGGCATCGGGAACGTAAAATTCCAGCCACCATGGAAACTGGTGTGGAGGTTCCTTAAAAAAATTAAACACAGCCGGGCTGGTGTGGCTCAGTGGATTGAGCATTGTCCCGTGGACTGAGAGGTCCCAGTTCGATTCCCGGTCAGGGCACATGCCTGGCTGTGGGTTTGATCCCCAGTGGGGCCATGCAGGAGACAGCTGACCGATGTTTCTCTCTTACATCGATGTTTCTGTCTCTCTCTGAAAAATTAAACACAGAATGACCATATGATGAGCAATTCCATTTCTAGGTATAAACCCCAAAGAACCGAAATCAGGAGCTTGAAAAGGAGTTTGTATACTCACAGCAGCGTCATTCACAACGGCCAATGGTGGAGGCACCCCAAGCGTCCGCTGAGGTGAATGGATGAACAGACGTCCGTCTGTCCTGTGGCATATTATTCAGCACTTGGAAGGAAATTCTGACACAGGCGACAACATGGATGGGCCGCAAGGACATTATGCTAAGTGAAATCAACTGGTCACAAAAAGACCGATACCATGTGATCCCACTAATGTGAGGTCCCTGGAGGAGTCGGGTTCAGAGGCAGAAAGTAGAATGGTGGGTGCCAGGGCTGGGGTAATCAGTGTTTAGAGGGGACAGAGTTTCAGTTGTGCAAGATGGAAACATTCTGGAGATGGGTGGTGGTGGTGGTTACACAAAAATGTGAGTGTACTTACCGCTACCGACATGTACACTTAGAACAGTCAAGGTGGGCCCTGGCTGGTTTGGCTCAGTGGTTGGAGCGTTGGCCTGCGGACTAGAGAGTCTTGGGTTCGGTTCCCACTAGGGCACATACCAAAAAAAAAGGAAAAGAAAAAAGGAAAACAGTTAAGGTGGTACATTTTACGTTATTTGAAATTGACCATAATCTTTTTTTTATAAAGAGAGATTTATATAGGGCCTCCAAGGTTCTTTTCTTCTGGCTTATCTGAGGTGACTTCTCACTTTTATTTATTTTTTATCCTCACCCGAGGATATTTTTCCCATGCATCTTTAGATAGAATGGGAGGGAGGGAGAGAGAGGGAGAGAGGGAGACATCGTTGTGAGAGGGACACATCGATTGGTTGCCTCTTGCATGACCCCGACCAGAGCTGGGAGTGAACCGCCACCAAGGTCTATGTCCTTGACCAGAATCGAACCCGCAACTCATGGGTCCCGGGCTGACTCTAACTGCTGAGCCGAACCAGCCAGGGCTGACTTCCCACTTTTAAATGACAGGTCTGTTTGATGACAAGAGACACGTTGGTGCTTCCAGGCCCCTCAGGCCTAACTCAATATAAGTGTAAAGACTTCTCCCCCAGATGACAAGCCCAGAGGTTCTTTTCTGAGGAGCGAGAACCCGTACAGTAACAGTGCCAGGTGCTCACAGGCTGGCTCTCGGTGACCTTGCCAAGTGCAGATGCCCACTGAATGGCTGGCGGTTCCTTTCTCCAGGACAGCAGTGGCTGACTCTAGCACAGTGCCAGCAGAGCGGGCACGGGAGGGGCAGCAAAGCCAGCACAGAACGAAGACCCGAGAGCTGCCTTCTCGCTGTCTCCAGGTCCGGGGCGGGCCACAGCGATCACACAGCGTGGTCCCTGACGAGGGAACATTAAGAGCTGGCTAGGGAGAGCTCGTCAGTTTTCCGGACCTCCGACACCCAGGCTCTTACCCTGACGGATCCTCTGGAGCTGGCGCAGAAACAGAGACAAAGTTAACTCCGAGGCACTGAACGAAGACTGTCCTGGGAGATGACGATTAAGGCCGTGTTAAAAGAGGCAACGGCCCATCTGGAGAAACAATGCACACACACACACACAAAAGCCAAAACCTGTGAGCAGATCCTTCACCAAAGATTCATACACTACCAACAAGCACATCACTACTTGTTAGGGAGCAAATTAAAACCTCCAGGGATTCCCCGTTGTTAGCTGAATATACGGTGGTGCTGACATTTTGGAAACAGTTGGGCAATTTCTCATAGAGTTCAGTTAACTTACCATATGATCTGCAACCCTGTTTACTAGGTGAATTCCCAAGGGTGTTGAAAACTGCGTCAACACAGAGACCTGTACACAAATACTTAGAGTGGATTTATTCATTATCACCAAATACTGGAAACCTGGCAAGCCAAATGTATCTCGGCTGGAGAATGGATAACAGACTGTGGCATAACTTTGCAGTGGAATACTACGCAGCCAGGAAAAGGAGCAGGGTACCCATACACAGAGCATCATGGGTGATCCCAGATGCTTTCATACGGGACATTCTAGAAAAAGCAAAACTATAGAGACAGAAACAGATGAGTGGTCTGACGGGCTGGAGGTCTGGGGAGAGGTTGACCACAGAATGACACGTGGGAAATGTGTTTGGAGGGAGTAATTATAGTGGCGATTATAGGACTTCACATATTTGTCAAGAGTAGCAGCAATGTTCACTAAAAATGGTGAGTTTTAATCTATGTAAATCAACCTTAATTTAAAACAAAATAAAAAATTGAAGGTTGTGTTTGTAGACCCGAAACAGGGACCAAGAACCGTGCTGTGCACCTCAGAAGGCCCCAATTAAAACGGAGTGAAATCAGACCGGCCCGTCCTCCGTGGCACAGCTGCCTTTCTGGGGCCGGCCTGGAGCCCCGCGTGGCTGACGGCTCCCACTCTGACCAGTGCAGACGTGGACATTGCCACCGTGGCAGTTCTGCTGGCCGGTGCTGCCTGAGGGTGGTGGCCGGTACCTCTGCTCTCTCCTCCCTTCATCTCCCCACGTCAGGGGATCATGCCAAGCAGCAGGACCCACCAAGAAGCGCCGATGGGTCACCTCCTTGCCTTGAGCCCCAGGGGCCCCTGCGGGCGCTCTTGTACCTGGTGGGTACGTGCAAGGCAGCGGGGTAGAAGCGGAAACCCCTTAGGCCTCGCCCTGGCTGAGTGTGCAGGCAGGTGGGTGGGGCCGAGGAGGAGGAGCCTCCATGTCTGGAAGCTGCTGGTCCACACAGGTGCCCAACACCACACAGGTGCACACGGGCATCCACACACACAGGCATCTTCGAGGGCCTGGAGCTCAATAAGTATTTGACCAATGACCCTTCTGTGACTTCTCATCACCTCCTTCCTTTTCCTGTCTGAATGTCACTTCCTGATGCTGCTATGACCTTCTCAGGTCCTTCCTGTGTCCCCAGTACTGCTTCCTGCTGAGTCCCCAGGGTTTCCCATCACACCGTGGTGGGGCCTGTGACCATTAGGGAAAGGACTGCAGTTTTTATCACTGCAAAAGGCGCAGGCAGGCAGAACAATCCTCCATGGAAAGAAACACTTCCCGACCCATGTGAGACCCAGAACCCCTGAGAGGGTGAACCCCGACCCCT